GAGTTCTGTTGGGTCTGCGGAATATGTTAAAATGACTCTCCTCTAAAAGTGGAGGACAGAAGCACTTCAGTAAGTACCGCTCTGTGTAAGAATCAGCCATTCTTTGAGACTTGGTTTTCAGATCCAAACCTTGGGCTGCTCAGCCAAGATGGCACTCAGGGAGTGCCCCCCCTGGCCTGGCATCACTCACCGCCTCCTTATAAGGTTAATAGCTTCAAAGGCAAGTTAATAACTTCCCTTTGGCAGTGCAGGGAAGTCAAGATCTGATCTTAGAATAATGTTTTGAAATACATAAAATTTAAAAATAGGGCTATAAAAAATTATATTGGAACAGTTTCCAAAATATATTTTAAAAAATTGTAATAAAGCCTGTGCTTCTTTATGAATGTTCCATATAAAAGATTTGGAGTGTAGCCTAATAAACAGCATAATTAGGAGGTAGTAATGAGTAGAAGTGGTATTTTGAGATATTTGCAACAATTGTAAAAGGATAGGAAAACGACCTGTGATTTCTGTTACTGTGCTTGGTTGCCTGCATTCATGCTAAAAGGAAATAAATCAGCGAGGGTTAGTGTCACTAAAGATATAAAAGTAGAATTCTTTCATGCTCTTGAAACAATGCTTGTAACCCACTGGCTCAAATTCATACTAAAGTGTAAATGGTTGTCCTGTGTCTTTTCCTCATAATAGACCAGACAATGGTGATAGTGGGATGAACATGAAGGCACTGAGTACCAGGAATCAAGATAGGGGGGAAATATATGCCTCAAAGAAGGGGAACCACCCCAAGTAGGATCAGATCCCATTAGCAAAAGCAAATTTGCTCCATGTGACAGATGACTGGATGGCAGAGAACTGCCACCTGCAGTTTTTCTGCTTCCTGGAGGTCTGACCCTGTGCTTTCCAGAATTAAAGAGTGGGTTTGGCCCTTTCAGTTCACTGAAGCTTGCCCTGATTGCTCAATAAAAGTAACCATTCGGTCCCAGGGAATTGATTTACTTTGTCCCAGTCCTTGAAGGATGCTATAGATCAAAAGGTTCTAGAAGAGCACTTTTAAAGATGCTGACACCAGTGCTGAGCGCGGTATGCATGCCGCCCCCCACCCCTCCACCAATTCCAGGGGGGCAGGCCCCTCTTGGTGCGGGCGTGCTGACTCACAGAGGAAAACTTACGTGAGGGATGCGTCAGAGAAAAGGCACCTGAATTTAGGTCGTCATTGTTAGTTTTTTTTGTCTTTTGAGACACGTGAAATGGGCCAGACACTTTCTTTTCAAAACAAGAATACAGAATAGAAAACTCTATTCAGTAAATACAACAAAGATGAGAAAGGCGTCAAGTCTATAGAGGTGAAGAGAAAAATTCAGGTCAAGAGGGAAAGGAGGGTAGACGAGATAAGCACACAGCAGCACAAGAAAACACAGATATAAGACCAAGAGGGAAAAATAGGTGGGGACGCCCAGATACAGGGAGAGAAACCCCAATGCCCAGCAAACCTTCAAAGGAGAGCTTACCTCACGACTAATCCTGCTCAGCATGGAAAATAAACCACCCCTAGATCAAAAGTTTGGATAAACACTATAGCACTTATTCAGAAAGCGCTCTCATTTTGTCTAAATTCTAGACGTCTCTGCTCATTTGTTAAAAAGAAGAAACTCTGCTGTTCCCTACGCCTCAAAAGAGCAAGTGTCAAAATTTTCCAGAGACCAATGTCTTCTGTGGTTGTAGAGGCACATCCCTCCTGTGGCTTTGGGGCCCATTTATGCCTAGAGCCATTTCCAGTCCTGTTGCATTTTCACAACCATAGGCATAACTAATGCCTTGTCTCAGCAACAGGCATGACTTACTGTGTGGCATGCACACAGCCAGAAATGTGCACTTCGTGAATTAGAGAGAGTCTATTTCACCGGCCACAGAGGCTTCAAGAAGTTTGGGGACATGCATGAGCCGATATTCAAGGAAGAGGCAGACTGTGCTGGAACCGCAGCAGAGGGACAAGCAGGGTTTCTGCGGTTCCCCGAAGGATGTGCCAACCCTGAGCACACACTGGAAATGGACACCCACAGGTGTGTCCCTCAGGGAGTGTCCTACAGGGAGTCACACACTTACAGTGACTCCATCACAATACGGTGTTCCCTGAGTTTTCCTCCCACTCTAGTGGGATGCCGTGTGTGTGGCCCTAGCTAGACATGGTGAGTATGGGCTCTGCCAAGACAGGAGAGCGTGGAGAGGCTGGGGTTGCAGGAGACACCCGTCCTTGGTGTGCCCAGAATGAAGAGACCCAGGCTTGGGGACCCAGGGACCGCTTTGGTTTGGGGGCTGTTTCATCAAAAGACACCCATGTCATTACTTGTGTAGAGGCCAAAACCACACTGCCCTGCTGCAGAGACCGAACCGCCCAACACCAAGTCATATTCCACACTAAGAATTACTGGGGCAATCGAATCTTTAGCATGACAGAGTTTCCCACCTTTATTTTCCTATAATGAGCTCCCCGAAGAAAGTCAGCTCCTGGACTCTATGTCAGCACAAACTCTGACGGGAGCCAAGAGACCGACATGTTCAGGATGGAGGCCATGGTTGAGCAAACAGTAAGGAGGAAGGGGCAGTGGGCGCCTGCCATGACTGAAGCAGCCATACATCAGACCTGCTGACAAATACCCTCAATGTCCAAGAATGTATGGAGAAGAACATGCTGAGCAACATTTCTTATAATAGTGAGAAGATAGCTCATGCCCATCAGTGGGAGACAAGATAAATCAACTGTGGTACCTCACACAATAGAGTACAGGGCTCGGGGTGGTTAAAAACAAACGAAACTTTTTATACACTGATATGGAAAGATCGTCAGGCTCTTTTACTAAATAAAATAATAGCAAATAATGGCAAGGTGCCAAACAGTGTTTACAGTATGCTACCTTCAATGCAAGAGAGGGACAAACATTAGACTATGCATTTAGACTGGCTTGAATTTGCGTTAAAAGAACACTGAAAGGATTTTTTTAAAAGTGGTTTGCAGGGCAGTGAGGAATGGAGTAGATTTTCACTGTAAACTTTCAGTTCATGTAATATTTAGATGGTGTATATTCAGAATAATAATAAAATAGTAACACAAAACTATGGGAGGGGGAAGGCATCATTTTCATTATATAGATCAACTGTTAAAAAATAATAACAATAAAATTTTTTAAACCTAGATTGGGCCCCACTGAGCTGTGTCGGACTCTGAAAAGCCAATGAAGCAATGAACAAACATTAATCCACGTCATTTAACAGGTGCCCCATGGCACCGCCTTGTTCTTGGGTGAGGAATCTCTCCTCGTAATCTCCCCACTATCTACCATTGTCCAGGGCCAGCCCTGGCTCCAATCTCACAGGCACACAGCTTCCACCCTGGTGCTGAGAGGCACCACTTTTCTACTTGTTCAGACTCCATCAGATCAACAGGCCCTGAGCCCCCTACCAAGCGCCTGCCCCTTCAAGAAGTTAAGACTTCCTCTCTGTTCATTAAAAACCACCTCCTCAGCAGCCGACCTAACCCAAAGCGGCATCTACAGAGAGGCCCCACTGACCTTGACATGAGCTGGATTCTGAGCATTAGTTTGGGTTCATTTTCTGCACTTCCAGCTACCGCCTCCATCCAACAGCAGCACACACTCACCATGGTCATGTTCAGGCCTCTTTCTGCAAACGCTGTATTCCCCTTGTTTAAAACTAGTCAAAGGAAGATCTATCTATCTAAGTCAATCAATTAAAAGGCACTTACTAAACACCTTTTCCAAAGTGAAAACATCTCTAACAAGAAGCCGCTAGCTCGCTCAAGAGTTTGAGCTCTGAGCAACAGCGGTTCGAGTCCAGCCCAAGCTGAGCAGCCGCTGAGCTGCCAACAGGTAGCAGGATGGCTCA